AGATTGTCCAATAATGACCGGAGTGATCCACACGCGCAAACTCAATAGCCTGGAGTGGATGTAGAATCGATTGAACACCTCATCGTTTACATCATCCTGCATTGGACTCGTTCGACCGATTCCTAGTCTACAATCGACTACAATTTTGTCTCCAGCCTCCAAACCAGTGGGGCCCGTCAAAGCGAACACCTTGAACATGGCACTATAGACTTTTTCCCTTTTCACCATTCTATTCAGTTCAGTATAATTCAATAATTGAGCGCCAAAGTAGTAGTCAATTTTTCGTGTTTGTTTCACCTCAAGTCCCCAGTCGAATATGTCCCGTGTCCAAGGCGGAGCATGATAGTCGCATACAACAGCGATGGTTTGTGTACCGTATATGAACGGGAGGTGTGGACTCGCGTACTGTGTGTATGTCCACAAATGATGGTCGTCGGTATGCTCTGCAACGAACTCCTCACTGAAGTGTACATGTATATCTAGCTTCACTGTTGGAATTACGCGAAGTTCGTGCTGAATAACAACCGGAAAAACGTAGCAATGTTCACATCTTCGTGAAACACACTCATAATTACCCGAATCGGATAGCTCAGCCGCCTGTTTGATCAACTCTACGCTCCTATAGGGTGGTTCAACAAACAATCGAAATGCCCCACCCGAATCTATATCAAGCCTGACAGGTTTGGAAGTTTTTGTGTGGCGGTGGTAACATTCCATACGTTCCAATGCCTCTGCGACAGGTTGAGTCCCAAACAGGATGACCGGATCCCCGACACGTACCGAGGAGCGCCAACCAACATTCAGACGGAATAATCCATAGTGTATGGCAGCTCCACCACGGGTCTGAGGCGAATAATTCGACGAAACCGAGGAATGTGGTTCTCTAAACCAGTGTTGAATTACAGTGTACACGGAATGGTAGAAGAGCACAGTCTGAGCCTCGACAGACACCCTCGGATTTTGTGTACTGATAACACTGATTAGCACGGCCACCACATTTGTTGTAAGGTGACAAGTGGCATTGTATCGAACCGGGTGAGAAGTTCCATCCGCTTCACGGAAGTAGTCACTAATCTGGATGGAATGGGGTATCGGGGTGCGCGAGTAATCATCAAGCACATCCTGTGAACACTGTCTTCGTTGAAGACGTCCCCAACGAACAAAAAATAAATCTATACTGGACCTTGCTCTTGGTCGACCGAGTCCGACAGTGTAGTTCACGTAGAGTTTGCCCTCTAGCACGTAACCCCTGGGTCCATTATTCTCAAATTTCATTCCACTAGCAGGGCTGGAGTTCAGATGACGCTGGATGGACTCAGTTATCGGGGCGCGACTGGTCGAAACAAGATTGACAAATATGATGGGCGGAGTGAAAATGATCAAGTCAATTCTACGAGACGCGAAATATCTCTGGTTTGTGTATGCGTACGTTAGGCCACAGGACACCTGCAACGGACCGCTTATATCCTCCTTGGGTGGGGCTTCAATTCCGTAGACCTCAATCACCTTTTCATGCAATTCAGTTGTTAACACAATCTCTCTAATATGAGTACTGGGTAGAGGTTTGCTTGTATTTGTTTGACTGTTGATCATAAGCAAGCGGAACGAGTGGTCGGGCCAGGCCAGGGTGTCACGCTGTCTGGAATAGGAGCAGAATACAAACGCTTTCTGTCCGGCTTTCAGATAGGGTAGATGAGATGGTGTACATTGCGTGAAATAGCGAGTCGGCGGATAGTCCGACCGCTGATTCAAAAACAATCGTATCAGATTTTGCTGTGCTTGAACTATCATAGGGCGTGGTGGAAAGCCGATTAGGGGAGCGCAATCACTGCAACCGAACGACTCGGTTACATTGCACGTATAGTGTCCCGTATCGTAAAACTGTACAAGTAGTTTGGTCAAAAAGAAAGCCAGTCTGGCGTAAACGATAGTGATTTCAAATTGTTGTGATTCGACCAACGGAGTGAACACATTGGTGGGAGCGTAGTAGCACTTGATCAGGGGATTTTCCAAACCGTGCAGATAGCCAAGCATGTTGACTGGGTGACCTGATTTGTAGGCCGTAGGCCAATCGATGCTTAGTCTGAGTATACGATAGTCAGTGTACACACCCGGCTGTTCTGGCATAACCGATTGTTCCATGCTGTTTGGCTGTTGAAGCCACAGATCCACATCACTCAATAGGGAGCGCTGCACTTGTTCTCTGAACTGACTCTTGTTTTCCAAGTCTTCTTGATAGTTTTGTACCATGATGATGTGGGCTATGTGTTCGCGATGAAACACGCACGAAACCTGCAATGAGACATAATTCAACTCATTATCTCGGCCGTAATGCGCACTTTTCAACTCGTACGGTAGATCTGCTCGGGTCAAGTTCATCACATCATAGACCAGACAGTTCTCGGTGTACAAATGATTCGCGAATCGGTAAACCGTCCAAGCATTTACCCACGCTCTGGGTACACCCAAAGAGAGTAGCCAGCGAACACTGCCCACTCTTTCGGGTCCACGAACAACATAGCGTTCGGAATGAAACTGAACAGCCGATTGTATCGGAGAATGTAGTTCTGAGATGACTGTTGCAAGAGGCCTGTCCGCGGTCTTCGAGTACTGGGGGAAGATTGTTGGGGGAATTCGAAAGCGCACCGAAATTCGAATAGATTTACGAAATCGCATCGGCTGTTGGGTTGATACATAGTGGCCTAATTCCCGTCGCATTCGCTCGGTAAACATAAAACGCCATTCGCACTCAGCCAACAACCAATGACCGTAGTCACGATTCAGAGAGAGATAAATTTGTGAGGAACGTAGCACTCGACTGTCCGACCGAACTTGAATCTTGGTCTTGTTCACCGGCAACGGATCAAAAAAGTCACCTTGTTCGTTCATAGTGTGCAGAAAAAACTCTCCCGAGACATTAAGCCACTGTTCGGCCCAAGTTTCATGTAGACAGTGTGCAAACAGTGAAGTACCCGTGTATACAAACGGTCTGTTCGCACCATCGTAGTCGGTGAAGTTTTCCCGCCATGGATCATGTTTTGTGAGCCTTTCGTAAGTGAGAAAAATGTCCAGAACAGATTGGTCGGGAAGTACGAGAAGCGGTCGCTTGAAAATCGTCTGACGATAAGACAGTGACACCAGACGCGTACACGTGTATAGGCCAGAATCACTCGGGCGCACGTTCTGATTGATAAGCGTGAAACACGGATGCGTTTGATCGTAGATTTTTTGCCATTGGAAACCCAGTGCTAACTCGACGGCATTTGTATCCGCCTGATGGGAACAGAATACAAGCTGTTGGCTGGACTCTGTATGACCTATCATTGTTATTCGACTGCCGATTCGAACAGTTGCGTTCCAAAATACATTCAGCCCAGTTATCTTGTAAGAAACCAGTGTCGCTCTTGGGCTGGCTGGGGCTACAGCTTGTGAACTGTTCAAACATTGGCTCAACCATTCGGACAAGGTGGAATGCGCATCAGCCGATGCTGTTTTGGGGTCGACGCCTTCATCCGGACTGAGCAATAGAAAGCCTAGTGCGAAACTTTCTTTGTGTACTACGCATGCGAATCGTACGAAAAAAAGTGACTCATCGTGAAACTCGTCATATTCCTCTTCCTGTTCCAAGTGGGAAGAAACCCAATCTGGTTGGATCACAGTTCGTGCGGACAGCTTACACGGCTCTTCATACACAATCCCATTGTTGTTTATAAAAGTCGTGGCATAAATCTGTCCTGTCGGGAGCCCAAGGGAAACCACAACCCCGATCTCGAATATCCCCTCCTTAAGTTCGTGACTAGATCCGAAATCTGTGGGGGGGTTGCCCCGGCTCACCTCTACCAACGATTGCCTGAGCCAGTTTGTAGTCTGGTGGTTAGTTGTGTGTACGGACCGTGTAAAAAGTATCGGTTTGAGACGTAGTCGCGTCCCCAAACGTCGAGTAGATACAATCGGTTTCGTTCTCTCAGGGCGAGACGTATCCGACACATCGAAGTCGTCCTCGGCAAAAGTGAGTTCGCATTGTAACCGCACTGTGGGCTGAGGTTTTCCAACCAGAGGACCTCTGATTAAAAACGGCGTCATTACGATGGTTCCATTCTCTTGATTTTCTGTCGTACTCGCACTGAGTCGCGTATAGGGTAATGCTTCGTCAAAATCCGAACTATGTGACTGCAAATGATAGCTAAATAGGAGTTTTTCATTGGACGATATACCAAACGGTCTTGTGTAGACGCAATGCACATAGATCGCTTCATCTGAGCTAATCGCGGCTTTTGTAAATTCGTCTAACATAGGCTCTGCTGGATTCAAGATGCGTTCATTCAAATAGAGTTGAAGCAGCGGTGGAGCGGGAAACACCAATAGACGTCGAGGATGAAAACATGTCTTCAACCTGCATTCGTCACAATTTGTGACGACGCACGAGTAGATACCTGTATGAGCGTAGCTGGCATTTTCGCCGAAGGAAAACGTTTCGGATCCACCAGATAGCGTTCGCAAAAGCTTTCGTTCATGTTTCCAGGACCGCCGGTGGTATATTAATAGCCGTGTGTTTGGGGATCTGTGGTTTCGGACGAGAATTGTCCACGGTTTTCCAACTGTAACCGTAGCTTGCCAGCCTATACTCAATTTGACCAGGGCGTATGCAACACGCGCCCGGTTCGGTGAAGCCAGTTGAAGCAGTTCGGAACTCGTTGGTTTACTGAACCATGCGCGTGCGTTGACGAGCAGCGACTGTGCGAGCTGTGTGTCCCAGCCAGTCATGTTTGCCTCTTCAACATCACCATCATCAATACTGTTGTATAGCAGAAACACAAGCATCAGATGCCTGGGTTGTAGAACACAATGAGTGGACGCTTCAAAGATATTCCTCCCTCCACATTCACCAAACTCTTTGGAAGCTTCCATTTCGGGTGAAAAATTCCTGTCATCCGCCACCGCTCTGCGTACCAGTTTACACTCGTCGTAATCCAGGCCAGCATCCGTCATGTATACAAGCCATGTGTGCATTCTGCCCAAAGGTACACCCAACCCTTGAATACTATGAATACTTACAACACTCTCTTCAAGCAGACCAGTCGAACCGGACGCATGGAAGTGAGTTGCACTCACTCCATGTTTTGTAGCAAAAACCATGTTGTGCAGCAAACTACTATTCGTGTAAAGTAGTTGAACAGAAAATAGGTTTGGTGGTGCACTGATTTTAATTATGAATGTGGTTTTGTTGCTCAACTGAACCACACCAGTCCGACCTGATAAATCGTTGGGAATCACGCCAAAGTCGTAGGTTAGGCGACAGGTAACCGAGAGCAGTGCCGAACTGTCCCCCGGACTTGGCGCTATGATTACACCAGTCACCGTCTGTGTGAGTACCTCGTTGACTTTCGTGGTGAACTGAAACGGGTCATGTAATTTGAGGTTGCGTAACACCTTATTCTTTCTGTCAAGCAGTTCGGGTATGAGATGTACTCGGGGACGTAGACGATGCACAGGAGACAGCTGATGTAGGCAACGAAAGCTGACCGACTGGTTGCGGAAAAGAAAGGGTTCATTAGTGGAAGTGTATTGTTCGAACTTGTGCACAGATTGTTCATTCATCTGCAGTCGATCGTGATTGAAGTGCACCGTCAACAAAGACTGGTCCGGCAGAACGTGGAGTCGGCGTGGTGCAAGCCCAGTTCGGACAGGACAGTCAGGGCAAACTTGTGTCACATTGCATTTGTAAACGCCGGCATCAGAAAAAACCGCATGTTGGATTTCAACAAGAAGCTTCACAGATTCAGAGACAGGGATATAGAGGATCCGAGGTCCTGCTGGAAGAAAGTATTCCTCATCGTCTGTTTTATAAAAACACTGTATTGGTCGCTTCTCAAACCGTTCGCCTATCATTCGCACCGCTCTCCATGGCTGCACCAAAGCCGTCCAACCGATAGCGAATCTGTTTAGGCGAAATATCACATTATTCTGTTCAATGATTGACTGACCGTTCATCGCGGACATGTGTCTACCAAGCGAGAACAACCGTATTATTTGTTCCCTAAAATGGCTCTCCCTTTCTTCTAGTGACAGGTTTGTGCTCGTCCAACCGAATCCTACAATAACCATGGCGAAGGTGGATATATCCAAAAGACAGGTGTACTCATGCTGCTCAAAATTGATGCCTCGATTGACCTTGTACTTCGTCTGTGTGTCCAAACCAACCACCTGTTGGGCGCTGACCACCGGTTCAACCTGATGAGTGGAGCACGGAGAGAGAATAATCGTATTCTCTTTGTCCACAGTAGTACGATAGTGAACTATCCACAGTCGAATCCTACCTCTAGGTAATCCAAGAAACACGGTGTAATTTACGGTGTAGAAGTTTTCCCGTTCCTTCACCACGGGACACAAGGTGTCGTTGAACACGTCTTCCATCCGCGTTGCTGCATTTCGACGCAGGGCGATTTGCAGGTTAGGACTGTCGGAAAATATGAGGTCAGGCAAAATGGTGGGATTCCTTGTCAAGTTGTACGTGAAATAAATACTTTTGACTAATTTTTCATTCTTCGATACTGACGTATCAACCAAGTCGAACGGATCTCTGGTCACATTGATCAGCTGAAGTATGCAACTTACTCTGACATAGTTCCAGTATTCATCCGGTTCTGGCCGTTCCAGATGGTACACCACCAATAGGTGATTAAATTCACCAACAGACTCACTCAGGTTTCGTTTCAGGACTTTTTTGTTCGCCAAATCCACATGTTCTTGTTCATTACCCGGAGCGCAAGTCTCATAGGCTAGATCCAATTTTACCGTCGCCTCTACACCTCGATATACCATATATTCACAGTGAGCGAATAACGTTTGGACGTGTGTACGGATCGGATCTTCAAAGGAACCAGAGCCAGTTTCATTGGCCGAATCAGTACGATTGATTCGCATTTTGAATTTGGCGGTATCGGGTAGAACGACCAAACGCTTTACGACGTCACGTGTTTCCGAGTCGCACTTCACACAGCAGTAGTACAGTCCTGAGTCCCGTTCACTCGCTTCCTTTTTAAGTAATTCGAAATAGGTATATTGAATGCTTGGCCGGGAATAGAAATCGCCCGGAAGGTCAGTTTTCGCATCATCTGCAGTCATAGCATACTTGCAATGCATTTCAGTGCCTGTCCAATGGGGATCGGACCAGATCATTTTGATTGGAGAGCCAACGTTCACTGTTCCGATCCAGCCTACCCTGACTCGACTCATTCTAAAACTGCCAGTTACAAAGTCCGGAGGCCGAGCATCCACGTTCCTGTCTGAGGCAGACTCGCTGTCTACGTGTAGTACATGGTCAGCGATCCAATCACGGATCTGTTTCTCTACAATTGTCTTGTTTAGTTCGGCGTTGTGAACGATGTAGGCGGCGTACAGCAATGCCACAACGTTTCTGGACAGCACGCATTCCACGTCGAACTGTCTGCGTACCAAGTTGTACGATTTGTTGAGGGTTATAGACCCTGGTATACTCTCTTCTTTTGTGACAAATTCGTAGCTGACAAATTTGCAAGGAGTCTGGACGAGGGTCGTTGTGCTTTCCGATTTTTGAAACATCCAAACCGATCCCCATCCATTATTTTTATCCAGCAGAGCAACGAACGAACTGATCAGAAGACCCTCAAATATCTGGCTTGAGCCTAGATGAACGGACTCCGTACCGTACAGGGTAGGTAACAAATAACTATGGCTCGTTAGTTGCTTGGTTAGGTCCAAACTTGATGTGTAAATTGTCTCGGGGAAAATTCTGGGCTCAGGATATTTCGAGGCGGTGATCTGTCGCGATTTGACGTGTTCCACCGCGTACCGATCTGTAAACTCTTCGCTGTGTCGAACCAAATTATCAATAGGTCTGTAGCGATACAGACAGGTGAAGGTACTTTTCACTTCTGTCATTGCATACAAGGGGTACAAAGCATAACACGTGATGAGATGAAAATAGTCGCCGTGTTTTTCGGTCGATTGGCGCGTTTGATTCCACACGGCGTTCATATTTTCTACCTCATATGTGGCGTTTAAACCATCCAAATTATCGATCCCTCTGTGGAGGATCATACCACAACAAGCATGAATGGACTCTTCTCCATGAAACATAGCCCTCCCGTCCGAATCGAAGTACGGATAGTTGTCTTCTAGCTGACTGAGATTTGTCTGTGTTTTTGGGACCGTATCGGTCAGGATGATCACCAGATCTTCCGGTCTTGGTAATACAATGACATACTGGTCAAAAACGATCACTCTTCCATCTCCAGCATAGCATGTATACATACCGGTATCCTCGATCCGTAGGTTATGAATTTCATAGTACGACTTATTCGGTTGCATAAACATCCGGCTTGGTGTGTAGTCATCGGTAGGTTGAAGTCTTTTGTCACATACTTTACGTTCAGTTGGTTCGTGAATCATCTCATCCGGACTGACATGCATAATTTTACTGTCTCCCTCATTGAATAGAGCTTTCCGAGTGACCGATAATCCAAACAGTCGAAGCGCTGGGGATTGTATTGTGGAAGGCCATTCGAACTCTGGTGATGTGGACCCGGAAAGCCAAGACTGCAGAACCGGTAGAAAGAATTCATCCACCTGGGTTACGTTGCCATGAATGATTAACAAAAGAGCTCTGGCATCTCGCCCGATGGTAATCGTCTGTCGCCAACGACGAATTGCGTATTTGTAGTTTGGATCCCATTGTATACGCAGAGAGAAAAGGTGCTCCTTCAGGTGTGTATCATAGCTTGAATCCAGTTCAGGCTGAAGCTTTGAGATCTGAAGTTGCCCACCTTCAGTCTGGCGGTCACCATACCGATGATCGTGGATGTACCATATCTGAAATATGTGAGAATTTCTTGCATAGCCGGAAATTTCCAGTGTGAGGTTTGTGTACTCTTCCACGCGTACTGCCGGATGTAGATCCTCATATCTTATGGTGTGTAGTTCCGCCCTGGAAGTGAGTAAATCATCTAATTTCGGATGAGAGGTGATGTGACCACCGCCAGTGGCTAGTTGAGGACAAACCACATTCACATCACGCACCTCATGTGTTGAAAAATAGGTTGGAGCTAACCCGTCCCTTAAAGTGAACAAAATAAGTTCATTGGTAAAATTCCGGGCAAGGTTGACATATTCATAGACTACCATATACTCGGATTCGTTCTCCTGGTAGCCCGTATTATACACCACAGCACTGAACTCACAGTTTTCTGGCTTGTACGAACCTCTCTCGTCGGTGTTGTGTATGCAACATGTGTTGTCAAGATCAGACGGCTCAGTGGTGCAGTTCAGCAAGATCTCATTGGTCACAACGTCCACAGCGAGCACAGAATGGATGATGGCCGGTTTCCGGACAACGTAGTAGATTCGTTGACGTTGTTCGGACGGTTCACTCTGTTTCAGGTAGGCGATTTTCATCCGCTCGTAATCCGTATTCGCGTGGTTGGGGAATATTCCCAAAGCATCATTTGGCATGGTATTACACCGTTCCAAATCGTTTGCATTGTCCACGAAGCCAGACAGAAGGGTTAATAGGAATGGGAACAAGATGAGACGGTTCATACGGAACAGTTTTCGAGAAGAGTCCGGTTGAATTCTACTCCTGTTTGACTGTTGCCCACGACAGGTTCTATCACACAGAGAGATAGCTCCAGCTACGCTAAACGGATTTTGAAATTATCGACCGATACAGAGTGAGATCGATACGGTCAAGAAAACTGATGTCAAAATATGCACCAATGACATCTTTACGAATTACTGGAATAGCGTTCTTTATAGAAGGAAATGTTGGTAACTCAGGTAGCGAAGATGGTAGCTGGTTGCTCACAACCACCAATCTATCACTACGCACCGCTACGCTCCCCAACAACGTACTGGTGATGTCACCTCGATTGGTGATGAAACGTTTGCCATCAAATTGCTCAGCTTGGTGAACAAACCAACGACCGAAATAGCGTTCCTCAAACTGATTCAGCGTTCTCGCTCTCTGCGACAAATCGTTCGCAGATAAAAATCATATAAGCGTTGTCAATGGCATCAAGAACACTGCTCAGTCGTAAGGGGAGAAACATGTAGACTATATG